ATTTCATATCCAATATTTTGAGGACTGTAACCCCTGGGCTTAAGTGGTTATGATCATAAAAAGTTACGTATAGTTGATGAGAGCCATGTCTTTTTCCTGTGAGAAAATGACTGCATACAGTTGGTGGAGGCCCTATGAAATGACAGAAACATCCTCTTATCCATACACTTGCATGAGATGCACCTCATTAGTAATGGGATCCTAGTGTCAAAGATGGGAAGGCCATCGTCAGCTGAATTCTGCTTAACTATGCACTTGGCCAATTTCTCTTATTGCTCTACACATCTTAAAGGAAGGCCCATTCTGTTTTGAGAATCTAGACAGCATCGGACATTGGGCTCAGGAGGCAATGTGTGTCCTCTCCTAGCCATTCAGCAAAGGGAGGTGAAGAATAAATGTACATTTTATGCAAAGGAGCTCAAAGAGAGAATTCTTTCTTAGGGCCAGGAATCTGTTGTTATTCAGTTGCTTAAGTAAATTTTAAATTTCTCTTACATTCCAGAAATGTCATTGCTGCCTTTCATGCTCCAAAATACTACCCCAAATTGAGGTGTGTCTTGCAGTTTCTATGGATGATTTCTATGAGCATTATTTTAATAGATATAAATAAGGAAATGGGCATCTATTAATGTTAATCTTGATGGTGATTCTTTATATTGAACCAGTTGATTAAGTCTGAAGAAGAAGAAAACTAATAAGAGGTTAAAAACTCAAACTGTATTTTTTGTTATTTTTTATTTCCTTATAGTGAACAAAACTTTAATGTCTAGAGCATTTATGAGGGTTTTAATGATTGGAAAATCCTGGGAATCTAGTCACCATATGTAACAACCTTGCTTTCTCTGTTGTCTTCAATGTCTGGGGTAAGTTTGGTGAAATTGTCTATTGTCTTTGCTTACATTGTCAAACTCTTTACCTGCACACTGACAGTTCCTGCATTGGGGGAAGGGGGGGGGTGGTTAAATGCCTGTTCAGTTGCAAAATAGTTCCCTGAACACCTTTCACTTCTTAGTCCCAGCAATATATTCTTCTCAAATTTCTGTGTCTGTTCAACTGTTTTGTTAAAAGACCACTTTACTTTTGGTAAAAGGTAAGTTCATGATATCCATCCATATTGGCACATACAGCACACTTTATTTTTCCCTGTGAATTCCAAAGAGATTGCCTTCAACTTTTTGTATTTGTTTTTTCTTTTGTTTCTGTTTGTGGTCCATTCTAGTTGAGTGCTTTTATAGTGTTTTCTTGATTGTTGTCAGTTTGGGGATATTCGGTCGCTGCTGACATTTTTGTTAAGTTAATGTCACAGCAAAAAAAAAAAAAAAGGAAAAGAAAAAAAAAGAATGACTGTGGCAAACTAGAATCTGGCTTATAGTGTATGGAAGATACAACTTACGTTTGATTGTGTGTAAATACAGTTAGTTAGTTGGAGATTTATCAGATAGCTTGGCAGAAAGAGAGAGGAGCTGTACGAACTGTTTTCAGTAACAGTGCTGTTCATACGCCTGATAAGATTGAGAGAGCTTTTCGAAATACTGATAGGCTTTGAATAAGAAAAGAATAATCACTTCTACTGGCACCAGCTTATCAGGAATGAGGTAAAATGCCAACACTTTTACATTAGCAAAAGTAAATGTTTTAGACACTCTGGGCCTTTTTTTTACATTCAAGTTAAATAGGAGGTGTGCTTTTGAGTGTGCAGTAATGAATAGAAGGATTTATTACTTTGACTAAATTACAGGTGAATATGTTGATAAAGCATCATCGGCTGAGTCTTTGATAAGCATGTACATCCATGCTGTGCATTCTCTGGAGAAATTAGGCTCTGCCTTTTCCACTCCAACTCTATTAAACATCATTTCTGATGTTACAAGATGCAGTTATGTCCTGTGTCAATCGAGGCTCCTTTTTCTTTTTTTCTTTTTTTCTCCAGCAGATGGGTGACAGGCATTCGAAACTTAGCTTATCAGGCTTGTAAAATGCTGGTATGCTGTGCTTAATGTAGTTGGGGCATCTCTAAGTCCCTCTTGAGTTGTGCTGACCCAGACAAACTCCTTTCAAAGAAATCCTTTCAATTTTTCAGGAATGGAATTATAAATTGAGATGCTTTAATGAGAAGATAAATGTATTTGTCCAAGTAATAGTCCAGTTGGAAAAAAAGCAGAGGGAGAGAGAGAGATTGGTTTTGTTCTTCAATATAAACCATTAACTGTCTCAGTCCTACCATTTTCTTTTCTTTGTAATGTGACTCCTACAAATAATTTGGCGTATTCAGATTTGATAAATGATAGTGCAAGAGCAGATTGATTGATTTTGGATTACTATTGATTACTCTCAATGAGATCAGTGTGACACACTCGAATCAATAGTATTCGATTAAGGGAGGCACCAGCGTTCTATACATCCAACAGCAGTGGGGAATTCAGGAACAGAATGTTCAAAAGCTGATAAATTGACAAAGCGTTCAGCCTTAAATAGCCCTTTGTTCAGCACTAGTTCCTTAAAAATATATTTCATTGGAAAGTTCGTTTTTGCAACTCGGGGACCTTTCTGTGGAAGAAAGGTCATCAGTTTTAAGGTTTATTAAATTTTAACTAAAAACAACCAGGCTCCTTTTAGGTATAAAATAATTTAAGGACTTACCGCAGGCAACCTTCATGCTTTTGAGCTGTCGCTCAAAGGTTTCACTCTTTTATGAAGATGTCAATTGTAAACATAAAAATGCATCGCTGGAAATGGAATGGCTTAGGATTCAAAAATGAAATAAAAATTCCTGCCTGAGGAAAAGCACTATAATCAAAATAGGGTGGTCTTAACTTTCTTCAGAAGTGGGCTTGCTTAGGAGCAGTGCTGGAAGGCAGCAAGTAGAGAAACCTTGATCAGGCACAGCCTTCTTCTGCTTTTCCTTCTCATCTGAGCATGCTCCTCCTGTCATTAATACTATATACAAAGAGCTGTGATTAGTGCTGATGCACTGGAGCCTTTCTGTCCTGAAAAAAAAGTTGCAAAGTCGTTAGGAAAAAAAGAAAAGAAATCCATGTTTCCAGTCCTTTAGTCAAGGCTTTAAGGTAGATGTATGTATGTATGTTTGTTTGTATGTTTGTATGTATGCATGTATATATATATATCATCTTCCACCCTGTGAAGTCTTGAACTTGGAATGAAGTCTTGGCTCACAACTTTATATGGTTTTTGTCAAGAAGCTTGCTCCAAAAAGGAACATTATCGTTTTCAGGCTATTGAATATGTAAATGTTTTTACTTGCAAAACCAATGAGATTTTGACCACCACGTGTTTGTAGATTCAAGACCTTATTAGGTTGAAATCTTTTTTGTTTGATTTTTGTCGTGATTTCATGGTTGGGGATCAAAGCCAGGGTTTCATACATGCTAGGTAAGTGTTCTACCACTGAACTAACCTGCCATCCCCAAGCTCAGACTCAAATCTCAAGCTATGCATTGGTAATGTCTCTCAGGTTGATATCAATTATTAAAAAAAAAAACAAAAACCTGAAAAACTGGAGGTGATGGATAGAAATGCAATGAGTGAATACAATTTGAAATCAAGAAATCACCTGTTAAGATATCACGCTCTTTTGTTATTATTGTTGTTCAATGAAAGCCATGTGAAGGTATCCTAATTATATTGGTCAGACCATATGAAACCACTCTTTTGGAAGAACAAAAAAATAGTCACGTATCAACAATTTGGTATGATTTGGCTCGACAATTAAATTTATTTGCATAACTGTTTATATTCTATCATCAAATTGAAAGTGACAACTGATTTTTGTTTTCTGATGGGCTGTATCCGATTATGAGTGACATAGGAAATCTGTCTCCAACCATGGCAAGTACATTGTCATACAATTTGTAGTAATTAGGTCAAGTTTCTCCCTTCTTTCTCACAATTAGAAAGAAGGTTGCCAAAGTAAGGTGATGTGTACACAGTGAAGAAAAGTGTGTAGGTAGTTATCTGTTCTGTTGTTGGGGAACAAAGATGCTTGTGAGGATTTGTGTAAACATTTTGTCTGTTGGAGACCTTGCCACACACAGAGAATAGACACAGTATGTCAGAAAGGTGTACTGACCCCCACCCAAAGGAACTAGTCCATTGGAGAGAGGTAAATACCTTCAAAGGGAACTGGAGAAAGTTGCAAACTCTAATATGTCATCCTTATGTTTATTCATTAAGAGTACCTTAATATGCTAGTGGGGGCCCGTCTTCCTTCCTTTCTGCTTTCCTTTCTTCCTTCCCTTCTTCCTTTTGCTTTCTCTTCCTCCTTCCCTCTTTCCCACCCACCCTCCCTTCTTTCTCCTTTCCTTCCCTTTCCTTTCTTTCTCCCTCCCTCCCTCCCTCCCTCTTTCTTTCTTTCTTTCTTTCTTTTTTCCTTTCTCTGTCTCTCTGTCTCCTCTCTCCCTCCCTCTCTTTTCTTCCTTACCTCCTGTCTTCCCTTTCTTTCTTCTTTCCTTTCTTGCATCTTTGCTTCCTCTCTTTCTAGACAGGGCCTCAAATACTACCTTGTTGGGTTTTTTTGTTGTTGTTGTTTGCTTTTTGTTGCTGAAAGCTGGTGTTGTGCCACTTAAATGATACCTCCACTTCCAGATTTTTGCTGGTTACTTAGAAATGTAAGTCTTCTAGACTTTTTTTTTCCCTATCTGGCTTTGAACTAAGATACTTGGACCTCAGCTTCCTGTGATCTACCAGTGGTCCTCATGTTCATTCAGTAGGAGCACTTTAATATGTGAGTGAGGGTTTTGCTTAACACCCCTCCCCCCTTGAGAAGTATTAAATCTGTGCTCCATTAACCATGCGCACCACTGAGACGTGAGTCTCCCGAGTTGATGGTAGAGACTGGGGTGCTTTATTGGCCACTGCAGCCGGGAAGGGGGGCTTAGGGAAACTGTCCAACAGTGATCCCCGAGCCTCTTCTCTCCCAGATCTGTGGCTGCTGTTAGTGCTGCCCTATGGGGGCAAATAGACCTTTCTTTGCCCACCCGCAGGTGGCAGATGCTGGCTCCCAGCTAGGAAGGAAATCGGCTGGCTGTGTGTGTACAGAGAGGAGGGAGGGGTGCTGGTGCCTCGGGTGGAAATGTGAACACCAAGTGCATCTTGACATGGGGTCGCGTCGGGACTGGGTAAGTTTCTGTTGCCCTGGGTAAACACACGACAGCTTAGATCTTGTGTCTGAGAGGCAGAGGGTGGGCATCTTTTATTGGAACTTGATTGAATGAACGCCTCACACGAGTCCTACTGTCAGGCTTGGAGTTTTCTCTTAGGAGTGCATTCCCCTCCCTCCCCTGCCATCCGTGGCACTGAATCTGATTTATCGCTGGTACAAAGATCAAAAACAGAAATGATTCCTTGGACCTTTGCAGTGCTGGGGTGAGGTAAGGACGAGGCAGTCTTTACAGACATGTCACTATCCTGGCCATCCTGGCCACCGACAAAAGACTCTCTCCTCTGCTCTTCTGGGGAAATTAAATTCTGCAAATAGAAAGGCTAGCCATGAAGTGTGTGAAATGACTGCTTTTAATTGACATATCCTATGGGTAGAGACACAAAGCAGTAGTGCCCATGTTACACTTGATTCGAATTGTTATCTTTTTCTGTCTTCACGTTATTTATTATTATTATTATCATTATTATTATCCTGACTCCCTTCCACCCCCAAAAAAGCATAAAATGCTCAGGAACCTAATTAGCCCAATGGAATCCAGTCTTTCTGTGTGTGTGTGTGTTGGGGGTGGGGGGAAGGAAACAGCAATGGATTGCATTTTTTTGTGGATGGCGAAGGTGGGGCACTGGAGTTTTGCTTGCAAAAAAGAAGCAAGATTTTGCGAGGTGTGCTCCTCCTGGATTCTGGAGCTGTTTCCAGTTCTACACTATAGCTTTTGTCCAGTTTCTCCATTCGTGGGATTTCTCTGAGCAGCGTGAACCATCAGCAGGCTGCTAGTCAGCAGCAGGTGTGAACAACATAAAACAGGATTAACACTGAACCAAAGTGTGTACTAAAAACAGAACTCCGGCCATGCTTTGAAAAGGACTGCGGGAAGGGGAGATAGAAGCCGCTCAGGGCCTGTTCACTCCCTGTTTACTAAACAGTGCTCAATGGGCTATGGAAAAATGCTCTGTTTGGGGGCAGAGAAGGCAGGCAAGGGATCATGTATGCATTCTCTCTTCTTCTTCCCACCTGAACAAGTGTAACTTCTGAAGAACATCATTCTAGAACTTTCAGGGGTGAAACAAAAATGGACTTGGAAACCTTGAACTAGGAACACAGATTCATATTGCGAAGAAATAATCCTTCCCTAGAGATGACAAGTTGGTAGTTGTTTGTTGCATTTCCCATCTCTAAAAATATCGATTAGTTTAGTATGTGTGTGTGTGTGTGTATACGTGCATGTGTGTGTGCACACGTGTGTGTGTATGTGTGGGGGGGCTTAGATAGTTTGTGTTTTCCCTAAAGTAAGTAAACCAGAAATAATTTTATAGATATTTCATTTCCCTTTCAATTAAAAACATTATTGTCTACATATGAAAAAGAAAGCTGGTAAAAAGAATTATAGTTACTGTAGATGCCTCCATGAGTTTGGCATATGGACATTGTATTGAATTTATGACATTTAAGGAACTTTTCCATATCTTGTTTAGGAAAGAAAAAGGTGATGTTTGAAATATCTATTTCCTTTGTTAATAAATCTGGGATATACTATGTATTAGATTAATTCTAGAAGTCTATTTTCTTTATTAGATTGAGACTATTGAGGCTTGATCATATCCAGTAAAATATCTGAAATAAGGAAATACTAAGTCAACCAGTAGGAGAAATTGTAGGTCACACACACACACACACACACACACACACACACACATACATACACAAACACATAAAGTCTATGTAAACTCTTATTTTAACACATGCAAATGTTGTTTTCTCTCGTGTGTGTGTATATATATATATATACATATATAATGTTATAGCACTGATTTTTACTGCTCCAAAATATGTTTAAATATAAACATTTATAAAGATTGATTCTATTGTTCAACATTATCACACTTCTTAAAGTATTTTTGAAGTGCCACAATTCAAAATTTTTAATTCCTTTTCAGCATCCTGATGCTGGATGCTGAAATTACCTTTATTATTTTATATATCCAAGGCTTAATGACTTACTTGTTCCTTCATCCTTAGTGTTTTATATTACTTATTTGCTTATTATTTTTTTATTTTTAAAACAGCAGTCTTGTTACTAATTTAATTCACCAAAATACCCACATTTTTATAAATTCAAGAATCTTATTTTAACTTCATAATGGCTATCACTTACATTTTAATGTTGTTCTTCCCTGGGAATGGCTATTCTATTCTGTTTAGTATTTTTAAACACCTCTGTTATGAACATTAATTTAGTTGTGGGCTCATAGCTTAATGATAGTGAAATCAGATTTAGCAGATATTAGTTTACAATTGATTTCTGAAGTGTATATAACTAACTCTCTGGTGTCAAATTGATTGCTTAAAGTAACTTTACATTTTGCATCGAGAAAGATTACATTCATTCCTTTACAATTTTTTAAATCACTAATCAATTTAGTACCTTTAAATGGCATTTTTTAAAATCATTCCTTCAAAAACATTTGTGGGTGCAGGTAGAGTGTCAGCAACAAAGGTCATGAAATAAAGGATCAAAATGTAGACTGAACATGAGTACCTATCAAAAAAATTATAAATGAGACTTTTTATACTTAACTTTTTAGTTTAAATAAGGATCAGTCTTCAAAAAATAAATTTGGTTTTTAAGCGGATGGGAATTTAGCATCTAGAGCACAGGAGGAAGAGAACATTTAGATCCTTATTCTCAAAGGTTTAACTGGGATTTTCTGGGGCTACGGATCAAACCCACAGCCTCACATGTGCTAGATACACTTTGCCACTGAGCCACCCTTCTAGCCCTGTTAAATCTGGTTCTTCTCTCCTCCTCTAGCTGCTGAGAAGCCTTGAAAATTTCATCACTAAATTATCCTTAAAATCTAAATTGCATATATATGTAAAATATTAAATTATATATATTATATGCAATACCAAATCACCTAGATATATAATAGAATATATGTGATCTTATATTACACACACACATATATATATATATGATATACAAATGCTCTAGAAGATAGTAAAATAAATGATTCCCAGATTGTAGGGAAAGCAAAGAGGATTTATTTGAACTGGAGCTTGAGTTTTTTGACTTTGAAGAAAAGGTTTGCATTAATAAACATCCTAGTCAGAGTAAATGACTATTGAAAATAGCTTTTATTAGGTACCCTTCGCCTTAATCCTGACATCATCTCTCAGCTATTATCTTTGTCCAGCATTCCTGCAAAACTGCCCGGTAGAGTTCCCCAAAGCCTGGGATTTTCCATTTGCCTGAGGACTTGAAGATGGGATTCAAAGTTCTTTCTCTCATCTCTGTGAGCATCTCTTTCTCAGGATGCATTTTACTTAGGTGTTTTACGTATTAGGTTTCTTGGAAGATACAGATTGCTTGGCTTCAGGTCATTAAAATTACTCTCTTTCACATTTTTTAGATGTTTATAATTAAGCCATTAGTGAACTGAGGCAATAAGATTTATATTGGCACCAGTTAAGTTTATAGAAGGATTAAAATCATAGTATCATGGTACCATTGCCAATCAGAATATGCCAGAACTATCTCAAGAGAGTTTTTGTCAAGTGTTTATGCTCAATTAAAATTTATACTGCATGCTACTGAGTGCTTGTCTCATGATATCTTGGCATCATTACGTTGCAAGTTTCCAATTGCAAGTGATCTATATTGTAAATCTTTTTTTTTGTTCCAGTACTACGGGATCACAAACTTTGGAGGGGCTACAGTTTTGGAAATGACAGGAGAAAAATGTGACAAAGAATTATCTCAACTTGAGACCAGCTAATATTTTTCGCAACACCACAACAAGCTATGAAATTATGTCTCGTGCTTGTTTTTTTTTTAAAAAAAATCCAGCACTGCGTATATGGGAAGGGGAATCTTGCTTTTTTGTAGGCTCTGAATCATGAACGGAATCGCCTAACCCATCTTTTCCCTTCATTAGGACTTCTTGCAACTATTTGTGAAAATACTTCTCTTCCCCATAGTCTTTCTCACTTTACCCTATTGCCATGAATCCGCCCCCTCTTTTTTGAAGCTGAAATGAAACCATGAAACTCCATGTGCACTTCTGTATGGAGAGTGCCAGAATATATTCGGAAACCCACTAACAAAGGGACCGCATAAAACATGGAAGGTTGCTGGGGAGCAGGGAGGAAGAGGGCAGCTGGTAATGTATGATTCCTCTGGTCCTGCATGGTAAAGAATTTGTCAGTGCCCCACTTCCACCCCACCCCCAAACCACACACCGCTCCGCATTAGGATGATGATAATGTACCTGGAAGGAAAAGGCAGCCCATGCCCAGGCCGTCAGCCTCAGACAGGGCGCCATGCCATCTGCCCTACCTGCTGCTTTCATGAGTCCATCTGGTGACTACGATCGCTCATTGTAGGCCTCTTCGGAGGCACATTCGGGCTGAAAAGCAGGCAGTGTGAATTATGTAGGTAGCTGGTATAAACAAATAGAGGGAACGGAGAAAGTAACAGGGGAAGGAAGAACCCCGGTCCTTTTGTCCTGGAGGGCTGTAGGATGTAATGCGCAAAAGCATTCGTTTGCGTTGTGGATGTGGATGATGTATAGATCGCTGCGTATAGATGACAAATCAAGGAATCCTATCTAGACTGAGAAAGTATTCCAACTGACTTTGTGCTCACAGGTAGTTTCAGGAAGGGAGACCTCGAGACTCTCAGCATCAAGGAAACTCAGAAAAAGTCACTGATTCAGCAGATGTAAAACAACACTTGCTCAGTCAGTGAACACTGATGTTTTCTCAAGGTGGGGGCGATATCATATTGGACTTTTTAGTGAGATATAGTTTCTGTAGACTTGTTTTGCTTTCCTCTCAGATATAAAGATGTAGAAAACAATAGTTTATTTGTATAGGTGGCCCATCCAAAATGGCTTAATTAACAACTACTGTTTACAAAGCACGTATAGGGGTTCAGGAACACAGGTTGATATTTAC